AACTAATATACCAATGCTGGAGAAGCTCTCGTGTGTATTTCTTATCTTGGAAGTCTGGATTGCTGCCAAAGTCTTATTGGTATGTTAATTTACTGTGAATAAATTGCCTAGCAGTAATCTTGTCTCAGAGTGCCTCGGTGTACGGAAGGGAAGAGGTCAGAACAGGTAACTGATTAAGCAGGATTCATTAACTTCTTTTATATATATAATAACACGGCATAACAAGGCATATATACAATACCAACGTGGTAGGAAATACAGGCAAAGACAGGCAGAGGAGAGAACAGTTTCAGTTTCAGTTCAGAGGAGCAGACTAGTTTAGAGCTCAGCACAGACTCAGAGCTACAGAGCTAAGCCACACCTAGGCTCCTTGCTGTCTCCTTGTTGTTCACACAGCAAGCACTGTTTCTGTTTCCAAACAGCCCTCATTGGCTGACTTAGTTGCTATCCCTGTTCATCGGCTGACCTTGCTACCATTTCTCTGCCAGCCATGAATTCTCATACCTGAATAATTTGCAGCGAATGTTTGATGGAATGTATTATGCAACAAAGTTCAATTGTAATGAGTGTATTAACGCCCGGGGAAAAAGATGGCACTTGTCTGGCATTGAGTTTCTTCTCTGCAACACCTAGGGTATTTTTCAGAGTATAAGATGCACAAGATTTTAAAGAGGTAAAGTTTTTGTACTCCGCAGACCTCCCAAACTCTCTGCATGCCTCATTTTTTTGTGAAAAACGGGGCATGCAGAGAGTTTGAGAGGCCTGCAAGTGTTCCTGGGAGCGGGGTGGGGGGCAAAATCAAGCAAAAAACGGCCCCGTTTTTTGTGAAAACGGCCCTGTTTTTCACCCCCCCAAAAAGGCATGCATAGCCTTTAGGAGGCTTGTAGAGTGCTCCTGGGGACTGGGGGGACAAAAACGAGCAAAAAATGACCTGTTTTTTGCTCATTTTTCCCCTCCCCAATCCCCAGGAGCACTTCGCAGGCCTTCCAAATCCTCTGCACGTCCATTTTTGCGAAGGGGACAGGATTTCCGGGAGGCCAAAAATGCTGTATTCAGTGTATAAGACTCGCCCAGATTTTCACCCTCTTTTTTGGGGGTAAAAACGTTGCTTCTTATACTCCAAAAAATACGGTAAGTAGCTTTATCCTGGGCAGAATTTCTCACTTTCCGTGGTCTGTTACCGCGTGGACACCCCTCCTCAAGCACCTTTGTCAGCTCTTCCGTAAAGGACAAGAGCTTGCACTTACAAGGTGTAGTTTGAGCACCTCTGGGGATTCTCAGCCATCCAGGTCCTGGTTGGGAAAACAGCTGGATTTTCCTTATCTTTGAAGAGGTTTTGCTTCGCCTCCGAAAAGCTTCTTCCGTTCTGAACGGAATGGTGGAGAACGGAAGGGTTTATATTCCTTACAGTCCTCTGGTTGTTTGCTCTCTCCCTGGGGATCTTTGAGGCCTTCGTAAAGGGTGGTACCGATACTGAACCGTCGTCTTTCTGGCTTTCCCCAGATGTGAACGAATGCAAGATGTTCTCTGCTCTTTGCACCCACGGCACCTGTCGCAACACCATTGGGAGCTTCCGGTGTCTCTGTGGCAACGGCTTCGCTCTGGATGCCGAGGAGAGGAACTGCACAGGTGAGTCCAGGTCAGAGGTGGGTTCCTACCGGTTCGCACCGGTTCGGTAGAACCGGTTCGTCAAATCTACCGAACCGGTG